CCTCCCCTGGGGTGGGGTGGGTGAGAAGGTGAGATCGTTACATGGACTAAAGCGGCTGCCAGAGGAGCCCGATAAAATGCTGAATTTCGATCTCAACCTTAACAACAACATCGTAAAGCGCTATTGATCAGCCAAACGGCCACTAGTGACCAAAATGCCCAAACAGCCACTAGCAGTCAGTGCGCTAGACTCTGGGTCGGATGGCCCGGGTTCAAGTCCTGGCTGGAGCACTACGTTGTGTTCTTAAGAGGCCGTGACTGTCAATATCGAGAATTGCTGGCCACGCTAAAAAAATCAAAAATTCTGATAATTTGCCTGGAAAACCCCTATAGGGAGATATATTAAAAAAAATATATTTCAAAGTTTGAAAAATCAAATGTGTCCGTGGAAATGGGGAAAAACGAAAATTCGGGTTTTTACCTAATTAATTAAAAAAAAAATACGGTAAAACTGAGCAACTTTAGCGTGCTAGTACTAAAGGAGGATGTTTCGTAAGAAATCGGAGGTGTTTTTACTTCAAAGTATAATTAATTTTACTTTTATATGTGGCATTTTAAGGAGCTTTGGCTTAATTTTAAAATTCACATGATTTTTTAACTAAGTGCTGTCAAACGCTCGTTGCAAAAAGCGAAAAATCGGCTAGCTTGAAACCTTCAAAACGTGTCTTGGCATGTGTGGCATCATGTCAAACTACATGCTGGCACAAAGTTTGGTCCTTATACTAAAATAATATGTAATAAAAAATTTGGGTTATTCAGAAACGTGCCGGCAAAACATAAAGCTTTGCGACACACTGTGGCCAGAGGTCACGAATTTGTGTGGTTCGAAGGGGACTTTTTAATATCCGGTTTGCGCCTTGAATACGGGGACCGCGGAGCTATGGGGTTGAGTGGGCTGTAGCCCCACCAAGAACAGTTTATTATTATCATTATTATTTATTTTAATCTTTGTAATTAAAAAAAATTAACACATTTTTTCTAGGACTGAGACGCGTTTCCGGTGATTTCAGAAGCTCTCGATTT